GATGGTAATTAAAACAACTTCTTCTGACAGAAATTGGCAGAATTTTAGTTATCGCCGTTAAAAATTTTTGCATTTCCTGCTAATGTTTCTTTTGCAAATGGGGAAAAAATCAGCAGCTGCGTTAATTTTTTGCAGCTGATATGGCTAATGTTGAATATGCTAAACATTTCTTCACCTTTGTAGAAGAACGCTTGCCATTGTCATAGTTTGTTTCTGCCTTGATGAAAATGATTGTTGAATGGTTTTAAGTTAATTGCCGAATACTCATACTTTATTTGTCTGTTGGGTATGTTGTAAGGTTTTATTGAGTCGATTCAAATTAAAGAATCTGAAATATCTTAAGTAGTACAGCAAATGCGTTTGTAGTTATCACTTCAGAGTGCTTTCAAGTGTACATTGATATGAGACTGTCTATCTGAAAGCGAATTACATTATTCGATTGCAATTGTTCGCTTAGGTTTTGGAACGAATGCGAGGAGTTCATCAGAAACTGCAGTATCAAATTGATAAGCTTCTACAGAAAGCCGCTTTCCGGTCAGCAGGTATCGTTCGCACTTTTTTGGCGCAGTTTGGCTACACTTGCATTTATTGTCTGAAAGAGGTTGAAATTCTGCTTTCAACCGTCATTCATTGCTGTCATACTTTGACATTTATTAGAGGTTCTCTTCTAAATCGGACAGTGGCTACAACGTGGCTTCTAATATATAACACTGAATTTTGGTTCTTGGTTACACGCTCACTTCAAAACCAAGAAATTCTCTCTCCTGGAAAAATGAATTCAGAGTAGGCTTTCTTCGCTAGATTAACTTACATACTGTTAAGGTGAAAAACATCCGTTGGATTATCGGCCGAATCTACGTGGATTTTCGCAGATAGTAAGTATTCTTCGATGTTTCAATATACGTATATTTGTTTTGCAGAATGCGCTTGAACAGAAGGTCGAAAATGAGGATGAAAATAGAAGTTGCAGCGTTGCTGTTGATGAAACTTGTATATCAAAAAAATATGTTCCTCCAAAGCTGATGTATGTTCCTTACGGTAACCGATACTTCCTGTGCTGTTGAGTTACTTTTTTAAATGGTTTCGTTTTTGTTTTAGACGAGAAACCAAATAGCTTTGAGGAGAAAATCAAGAAAAACACGTTGAGAAAGAGTGTGATCAAGGATCTTCAGAGTCAGTATAGCGAAGCCCCGGAAGAAATTGAGGTGAGTGACTTCCAAATACCGTTGAGGAATTGCTCAGTAAAGAGAGCTGCAGCTGAAAAGAATGCCTGGACCGACGAAATTTGCTCATGTTTTAACTTCCGTTCACAATGTTCATAATTTTTGCAGTGGTGTAATTGACACGTGAAGAAGTAACAGTTATTCGAAAGATCATAAATGTGTTTTCCGCCTTCAGCATATCGAATCCGGCTGTTGAGAAATATGGCACTTATTAACATATTGTGACATATTTGCCTCATGTTTATGACGCTGTGCTGAAGCATATTCCGAGTGCAAACTATTGAAAAATTACTGTTGTGTGATTATTACTTTTGCCAACGATATGATATGATGTGAATGTAGTATTGCCGGAGTTACCACGAAACTACGGCCTACATAAATTCCTCGCCCTGGGGTATCGAAGATACGCCACGAAATCCATAAAGGAGTTAATAAGCTATCAGATTATAATTGGTGATGTTTCACTGGAAAAGTTTAATGTTAAGATACATTCAGCCACGGAATATGTTGAATCTGCAGTGTATGTTGTTGCTGTAGAATACTTGAGTCGTCTATGAAATACCTGTACAAAATGTACGTGGTTCCGAACGGTGGTCGTTGGCTTGGAATGAACAAGAAATATTCTGTAAATGCACATTCGTATTTCTTTTACCCACCTGCCGTTTGTGATTCATACCTGTAAACGGGCACATTCTTGTTTAACTTTCCTATGACTTGTTGTTTCACTGATGTCTTAGAACTTAAATTTTAGTTTAGGATGTTATTCAGAATGTCAAGTCAGTTGAGGAACGAAAACGACGGACGGAGTACGCGATAAATTTATTGGTTGTTTATTGTAGTGGCCTGCTTTTATTGAAGGTACGAAGAAGAACATTTTGTTCGGCTTCCGGTTTCCAGTACTGCGAGATCATCTCGAAAACGGGCCGGTTTTGTCTCTGATATGGTTGAGTTGTTTGATTTAAACCCTTATCCGATGACGGTAAAAAAGCAAGGACACGCGGTGAGTTCTTAAAATCAAATTAAAAAAGTTTCTGCATTGTCTAAATTTAAACGGCTCAGTTACATAGCATCAGAGTTTGGTAGGTTTTTCATGGTTATTACAGTGCAGTTGTGCATGAAACTCAATTTTTGAAAGATATTAGTGTTATTGCTATGAGACGATTTTCGACAAATTCTGAGATTACGTTGCTACCTCTTATGTTTCTCTATTTCAGCTTTAATTGTTTATTTTTTTATGAACACGTTGAAAGATGATTCATTTCTGGCTAACTCGTTCAGGCAGCTGTCTTAAAGCTGATTGTGCTTTTGAACATATCGGTTGTTTAGTTCAGCTTTTGCCACTGGTCGGTGCATTTTCTATGGCATGTTTCGTTAAGGCTTTGAACAAATATCTTTTTTCACTCTCAATTGATTATGACTTTGATTGATTATGCGATATATAAGTCTCTCAGTGGCCTTCATCACTGTCTTCCGACTTGATCTCTGCCGTTGATTCTGTGTTCTGCAGCTGTTGTACATTAGGAGCCAATGGTGTACTTTTACCCAAGATGTTCGTTAATTAATTTTTTTTTGTAACGGACTTGATGAGGCTGTCCAACTCGTGCAGAGTTCGTATCCTTTTTCTCGGATGACATTTTCACACGACCGGATAATACAGGCTTCCATGAAAAAGAACAGTTACTTCTACTTTGAATTAAAGCGCACGGAGAAATTTATTCCTGAATTGAGATAGCGCCTAACAGCCTCCATCTTTTAGTAAATGTGATCTGTGACTT